CACTAAAAGCCTCCAATACAGGAAACACAATGTTGCCAGCCAATCAAGACAAAAAAAGCTACAAAACAGACAGAAGATATTAGAAACACGAATCAAGCAGAACACAGCAAACTCCAAGACCAATAAACACAGACCAAGATTCCCAACAAATCAGGATGAAGAAAAAACCATTCTGGCACAACAGTAGGCTAGCACCAAATTTAAAACAGAAAAGGCTGTGAAAGTCTGACTCACAGACAAACACTATACAGAAGCCTGATGATGGCAGATGAGATTCTGCTGAAACGTTGCTACAACTTTAAAAGCACAACTATAATGACGTGGGAAAATACCCGAACAAAGCTGAATACCATACATACATACATACATACATACATACATACATACATACATACATACATTTTTCTACTTCTGCACAGTTTCTTTCCATCAATGTTAGTAACACCCACTAGTGGCAACCTCTAGAGATGTCAGTACAAATATATCTTGTAGTTGGTACCCTGTAATATTGCACTGCCTGATGCCTGTTCTTGATTCCATTGAAGAAGACATCTCCTGCCTCTTCATATAATCCCATGGCCAGGTGCAACTCTTTGGATTTCAGTGCTGTCTCTATGGATGCCTGAAAAGGGAAACCAGAGAGATTAACAGCTGAAGCAATAGCATCATAGAAAAAGGGTGACTGTTTGCTCAGAACAACTTAAGACACTTCAATTTAGCTGCATACACTTTAAGACTCTTATGCCTAACAAAATACAGAACACTTCATGACAATTTTTTTTTTAATTTCAATGGCAAAGACCTCATAACTCTGAAGGAAAAAGTGGAAATTAGGTGGAAAAGATTATTTTACTTTGTAACATTTTTTTTGGGGGGGGGGGGGGGGGTAGTTTGATGTTCATAACTCTAATGCTCTTCTATTCAACCCCCTTACTTTTTACTACCAAATCTCTGAAATCACCACACTACAAATCCAAATGTTGCTTATAAATCTAAATTCTGCATCCACAAATGAAAGTCATAGATTTTCGGTATTAAATATTAGATAAACCAATATTAAACATTAATATTTAATATGACCTAATATTAAGATAAGCGTGCAATATGCAATTGCACATTTTGTATAAAGCTTTGAGCACAAAACATGCACTTGTGCAATGCAGAAGATCTGTGGTTCAGCCAAAATCCTATATCTTGGCTGAACCACAACCATATATATAATATCTACCGCTATCTATATATATACATATAGTAACAAGAGAGATATTTACTGTTATGGTTAGCGATACCTTGTATTGTTAGACACTGACTCAGCATCATCATGTGCCAGACACAAGTGAAAACTCACATTTTATAAAGATTGATAAGTGATCTATGTTATCCAATGATTGAAATCACACTTTTGCAATAATCTTCTACAAAGTGGTTGGGTAAAAAGTGACAGCTACTAAAAAAGACCAAGTCCCAAGCCAGGAAGATACCAACTTAGAAAATCACTTTTTTATGTACCTGTAAATACATTTCCACAAGTTCATTCTCTTGCATTTGATAATAGAGCTTACCAGCCTGTAACCAGGCCTGGGCTGTTTTAACAGTTTCCTCCAGGTCAATAAATATTCTGAGGCTCTGCTTGGTACAGTCCAATGCCTGTTTCAAAGATCTGTTGGATTTACATGTATTTCATTATTACAAAGAAATTAGTGAAACTCATGCATAGTCAAAATAAACCATCCCATTTTGATCCACTCTATAAAACAATCCTTACAAGAAACTGTATTGTGACCTTCACACAGGCTGAATTATTTCCTTTGGTTTTAAATCCAATGAAGACATTTTTTAAACCAGATGGACCTTTAAATAGGTCCTTAGATAAGTTCCTATTCTAAAGATATCACTCTTAATGGAAGGACAACTGGATTTCCAATAATGTTTCATGATAAAATGATATCACACTATGTGGTATATGTTTCCCCTATCTATCATGTTGGAGACACTCTATAGAAGAAGTTTCAGAATGATGCACACCCTGTTCACTACAAATAACATGTGAAATGTGTGTGTGTGTGTGTGTGTGTGTGTGTGTGTAGGTGTGTAGGTGTGCAGGTCTTGGCGTGTTCGGGTCTTTTCCTGTGTAAGATTGAGAGTATCTTGGCGATGTTTCAATGAGGTCCCACTCACCATTTTCAGGCTGATGCTTTCAAGTTTCATGCTTGTGTGAGCAAAGCGTGATCAGAGCTGTCGTCTCTCTATAAATACTGGTGGAGAGGTTGGCTGTGTTGTTATTTCTTGATTAGTTGATGGAGTTGATGTTTGCAGATTGGTTGGCTTTTTCGTAAGAACATGTGTTGCTGAGGTATTGGTTGTGTGTCTATCAGCCTCCTGTGTTGTAACGACCTGGGTAATGGGCTGTGTGATGATTTTCTGAGTTCTATTGTTGTGACATCCTGAATCTTGTGCTGTAATCTCCTGGGTAATCTCTTGGCCACATGGGAAAGAAAAACTGGACAACTTCCTCACATACCTCAACAGCCTACACCCCAAAATACAATTCACCATGGAAACAGAAGCCAACAACCAACTTCCCCTCCTGGACGTCCTAATTTACAAAAAAACCCAATGGCTCCCTAGGACACACCATCCACCGGAAGAAAACACACACCAACCGCTACTTAAACGCACAATCCCATCACTACCCTTCACAGATCAACTCCGTAGCCAAGATCCTCATCTCCAGAACCAAACACCTGGCCGACAAGGACCACCTAAGAACAGAATTACACACCCTCACTAATGTATTAATTTCCAACCGATTCCAAAGAAACACAATTACCAATCTAATCCTAAGGGGGACACCCCCAAAAAACTGAGACACAGAACAGGACAACGGTATTGCCCTCCTTCCCTATATCAAAGGCACCACAGACAAAATCAGCAAAATTCTCCACAAACACAATATCAGGACAGCCTTCGGCACTGACCCAAAAATAGCCAACATCCTAAGAAACCCCAAGGACAAGTTCCAGCTAGAAAACCAAGGAGTTTATGAAATACCATGCAACAATTGCCCAGCCACATACATTGGACAAACCAACAGGAGAATAAATGCATGCATCGCAGAACACAAGAACACAGTCAGAAAAGAAGAAAATACTTCCTCCCTTTTCCAGCACCTTAAAGCCACAGGACATGAAATTAATTTTGAGGGAACCAAATTAATCTACAATACTGAACACTTCAACAAGAGAATAATCAGGGAAGCCATTGAAATAGAGAAACGCCCCCATAACATGAATAAATGGGATGATACCTCCCGCCTACCAGACATCTGGAAACTAGCCCTTATCAACAAATGAGTCCCAGCCATGAAAACCAACACCGGATCCAAAACAACACATGACTCCAACACCAATCTCCCTCACCAGACTCAAACCCAAACCCATCCCATAGACGAAAGGCAACCACCATCCAGAAACCAGACCACGGCTGCATCACTAGCTGCCACACACCCCGACCCCCAAACCAAGCTAACTGACACACGCCATGAACACATAGCCAGGCCTCAAACTCAGAACCAAACCAAAACCCGGAACGTCACATCACAGCCACCCGCTCAGGATATCACATATCACAAACTCAGGAGGTTACACCACAAAACTTCAGGATGTTAGAACACAGCCAACAACCCAGGAGATTACAGCACAAGATTCAGGATGTCACAACAATAAAACTCAGGAGGTCATTACACAGCCCATTACCCAGGTGGTTACAACACAGGAGGCTGATAGACACACAGCCAATACCTCAGCAACACATGTTCTTACGAAAAAGCCAACCAATCTGCAAACATCAACTCCATCAACCAATCAAGAAATAACAACACAGCCAACCACCCCACCAGTATTTATAGAGAGACACAACACAACCCTTGGATGTGTGGCCTCATCTTGCAATATGTGGGATATCTGTTCACTGGTACATTATGTTATCATTTTTTCTGTCACTTGAAATAGAAGAGTTTTACCTCAGCTTCCAAATAGCCCAAATAAATGTGGACTACCAGGCACTAAACTTTGGCTTTTGAGAAAGAGAAGAACAAAAGAAAGAGAGGAAGGAAGGAAGGAAGGAAGGAAGGAAGGAAGGAAGGAAGGAAGG